CCCCACCATTTTCCCTCCCTTGTTCCCTCCATTTTTCCCAGCCTTTTCCCTCAGTTTTCCCACCCTTTTCCCCTTAGATTTTACCACCCTTTTCCCCTTAGATTTTACCACCCTTTTCCCTTACATTTTTCCCACCCTTTTTCCTGCCATTTTCCTCTCCATTTTTCCCACCCTTCTTGCTGCTTTTTCCCTCAGTTTTCTCTCCCTTGTTCCCTCCATTTTTCCCAGCCTTTTCCCTCAGTTTTCCCACCCTTTTCCCCTTAGATTTTACCACCCTTTTCCCTTACATTTTTCCCACCCTTTTTCCTGCCATTTTCCTCTCCATTTTTCCCATCCTTTTCACTGCTTTTTCCCTCAATTTTTCCCACCCTTTCCCCCTCAGTTTTCCTGCCCTTTTCCTCTCCATTTTTCCCATCCTTTTCGCTGCTTTTTCCCTCAGTTTTTCCCACCCTTTCCCCCTCAGTTTTCCTGCCCTTTTCCCCTCAGGTTTTCCTGGCCTTTTTTCCACCATTTCCCTCTTCATTTTTCCCACTCTTTTTGCTGCTTTTTCCCTCAGTTTTCCCATCCTTTTTCCCTCAGTTTTCCAATCCTTTTTCCCTCAGTTTTCCCTCCCTTATTCCCTCAGTTTTTCCCACCATTTTCCTCTCCATTTTTCCCATCCTTTTCGCTGCTTTTTCCCTCAGTTTTCCCACCCTTTTCCCCCTCAGTTTTCCTGCCCTTTTCCCCTCAGGTTTTCCTGCCCTTTTTCCCACCATTTTCCTCTCCATTTTTCCCACCCTTCTTGCTGCTTTTCCCCACCATTTTCCCTCCCTTGTTCCCTCCATTTTTCCCAGCCTTTTCCCTCAGTTTTCCCACCCTTTTCCCCTCAGATTTTACCACCCTTTTCCCTTACATTTTTCCCACCCTTCTTCCTGCCATTTTCATCTCCATTTTTCCCATCCTTTTCACTGCTTTTTCCCTCAGTTTTCCCACCCTTTCCCCCTCAGTTTTCCTGCCCTTTTCCCCTCAAGTTTTCCCATCCTTTTCGCTGCTTTTTCCCTCAGTTTTTCCCACCCTTTCCCCCTCAGTTTTCCTGCCCTTTTCCCCTCAGGTTTTCCCGCCCTTTTCCCCACCATTTCCTTCTCCATTTTTCCCACTCTTTTTGCTGCTTTTTCCCCTCAGTTTTCCCATCCTTTTTCCCTCAGTTTTCCACCCTTTCCCCCTCAATTTTTCCTGCCCTTTCACCCTCAGGTTTTCCCGCCCTTTTCTCTTCAGTTTTTCCCACCCTTTTTCCCACCATTTTCCTCTCCATTTTTCCCATCATTTCCCTCTCCATTTTTCCCACTTATTTTGCTGCTTTTTCCCCTCAGTTTTCCCATCCTTTTTCCCTCAGTTTCCACTCCCTTTTTCCCTCAGTTTTCCCTCCCTTTTTCCCTCAGTTTTTTCCACCATTTTCCTCTCCATTTTTCCCACTCTTCTTGCTGCTTTTTCCCCTCAGTTTTCTCTCCCTTGTTCCCTCCATTTTTCCAACCCTTTTTCCTCAGTTTTCCCACCCTTTTCCCCTCAGATTTTCCCAGCCTTTTCCCTCAGTTTTCCCACCCTTTTCCCCTTAGATTTTACCACCCTTTTCCCTTACATTTTTCTCACCCTTTTTCCTGCCATTTTCCTCTCTATTTTCCCATCCTTTTCGCTGCTTTTTCCCTCAGTTTTTCCCACCCTTTCCCCCTCAGTTTTCCCGCCCTTTTCCCCTCAGGTTTTCCCGCCCTTTTCCCCTCAGGTTTTCCCACCCTTTTCCCCACCATTTCCTTCTCCATTTTTCCCACTCTTTTTGCTGCTTTTCCCCTCAGTTTTCCCATCCTTTTTCCCTCAGTTTTCCACCCTTTTCCCCTCAGGTTTTCCTGGCCTTTTTCCCACCATTTCCCTCTTCATTTTTCCCACTCTTTTTGCTGCTTTTCCCCTCAGTTTTCCCATCCTTTTTCCCTCAGTTTCCCCTCCCTTTTTCCCTCAGTTTTTTCCACCATTTTCCTCTCCATTTTTCCCACCCTTCTTGCTGCTTTTCCCCACCATTTTCCCTCCCTTGTTCCCTCCATTTGTCCCAGCCTTTTTCCTCAGTTTTCCCACCCTTTTCCCCTCAGATTTTCCCAGCCTTTTCCCTCAGTTTTCCCACCCATTTCCCCTCAGATTTTACCACCCTTTTCCCTTACATTTTTCCCACCATTTTCCTCTCCATTTCCCCCACTCTTCTTGCTGCTTTTTCCCTCAGTTTTTTCCCCTCAGTTTTTCCCGCCCTTTTTCCACCATTTTCCTTTCCATTTTTCCCACTCTTTTTGCTGCTTTTTCCCTCAGTTTTCCCACCCTTTTCCCCTCAGTTTTTCCCTCAATTTTCCCCTCAGTTTTCCTGCCCTTTTCCCTCACCCAGCTTCCCAAAATTCCCTCTTTTTCCCAGGAATCTCCACGCTAGTGGTGTTACCCACAGGGATGGGCAAATCCCTGTGCTACCAACTTCCCGCTTTTCTCTACCACCGACATTCCGGCAGCATCTCCCTGGTCATTTCCCCTCTCGTATCCCTCATGGACGATCAGGTATTTCCATAATTCCCACTTTTTCCCCATTCTGCTGGAATATCCCAGCAAAATAAACCCGGAATATTCCCAATCCCAGGTTTCCGGCCTCCCCTCAGCCCTCAAAGCCGTCTGCATCCATTCCAACCTCTCCCAATCCCAGCGGGAAGCAGCCATGGAAAAAGTGAGTAAAATTCCCCATTTTCCACCTTTAGGATTGCAGAAATCCGGGATAATCCCAATTTTCCACCAGGTCAGGAGCGGCAAAGCCCAAATCCTGCTGCTTTCCCCGGAATCTCTGGTGGGATCGGGATCTTTTTCCCGTTTTTTCCGGGATTTCCCACCCGTGGCTTTCGCCTGCCTGGATGAGGCTCACTGCGTCTCCCAATGGTCCCACAACTTCCGGCCCGCTTACCTCCGGATCTGCAAGGTGGGAAAACCTGGAAAAACCTCGGAAAAATCCCAAAAAAAAAGCGGGAAAACCCCTCAAATCCTGGAATTTTTTCCCCTCTCGGAATTCCAGGTTCTCCGGGAGCGCTTTGGAGTCCGATGCTTCCTGGGCCTCACGGCCACGGCCACGGCGGCCACGGCTCGGGACGTGGCCCAACATTTGGGAATTCCTCCGGAAAACGGGATCGGCGCCGCCGGAATTCCCGAAAACCTGCGGCTCTCCGTGTCCGTGGATTCCGACCGGGATCAGGTGGGGTCGGATTTGAGATCATTCCAGGGTATTTCGTTTTTATTGGGATTTTTAAGGGGGAAAAATCTTCATTTTTAGGACCTAAAAATTCCATTTTTTGGGATCGTCCCCATGTTTTCGGAAGGAAAAACGCCGTTTTTAGGGTTTAAACTTTTATTTTTTGGGAATAATCTTTGTTTTTGGGGAAAATGAGGGAAAACTTGTGTTTTTGAGGGAAAACCCGAGTTTTTAAGAGGTAAACTTCACTTTTGAGGGAAAAAAAAATCCAATTTTTTGGGAAAAATTTCTCATTTTTTTTCCCTAAACCCCCACTTTTATGAGGAGAAAAAACTTCAATTTCGAGGGAAAAAAAAATCCAATTTTTTGGGAAAAATTCTCATTTTTTTTCCCTAAACCCCCAATTTATGAGGAGAAAAAATCCCATTTTTTGGGGAAAATTTCTCATTTTTTTTCCTTAAACCCCCACTTTTATGAAGAGAAAAAATCCCATTTTTTGGGAAAAATTTCTCATTTTTTTTCCTTAAACCCCCACTTTTATGAGGAGAAAAAAATCTCATTTTTTGGGGAAAATTTCGCATTTTTTTTCCCTAAACCCCCACTTTTATGAGGAGAAAAAAATCTCATTTTTTTTCCTTAAACCCCCACTTTTATGAGGAGAAAAAAATCCCATTTTTTGGGAAAAGTTTCTCATTTTTTTTCCCTAAACCCCCACTTTTATGAGGAGAAAAAAATCCAATTTTTTGGGAAAAATTTCTCATTTTTTTTCCCTAAAATCCCATTTTTATGGGGAAAAAAAAAATCCCAATTTTTGGGAAAAATTTCTCATTTTTTTTCCCTAAACCCCCACTTTTATGAGGAGAAAAAATCCCATTTTTTTAAAAAATTTCTCATTTTTTTTCCTTAAACCCCCACTTTTATGAGGAGAAAAAAATCCCAATTTTTTGGGAAAAATTTCTCATTTTTTTTCCCTAAACCCCCACTTTTATGAGGAGAAAAAAATCCCATTTTTTTTAAAAATTTCTCATTTTTTTTCCCTAAACCCCCACTTTTATGAGGAGAAAAAATCCCATTTTTTGGGAAAAATTTCTCATTTTTTTTCCCTAAACCCCCACTTTTATGAGGAGAAAAAAATCCCATTTTTTGGAAAAATTTCTCATTTTTTTTCCCTAAACCCCCACTTTTATGAGGAGAAAAAAATCCCATTTTTTGGGAAAAATTTCTTATCATTTTCCCTAAACCCCCACTTTTATGAGGAGAAAAATTTCTCATTTTTTTTCCCTAAACCCCCACTTTTATGAGGAGAAAAAAACCCCATTTTTTGGGAAAAATTCTCATTTTTTTTCCTTAAACCCCTACTTTTATGGGGAAAAAAAAATCCCAATTTTTTGGGAAAAATTTCTCATTTTTTTTCCCTAAACCCCCACTTTTATGAGGAGAAAAAAATCCCAATTTTTTGGGAAAAATTCCCCATTTTTTTTTCTCTAAAAACCCTTTTTTGGGGAAAAATTTTTCAGTTTTTTAGGATAAATTCCCCATTTTTATGGGAAAAAATATCCCAATTTTTTTTGACCAATTCCCCATTTTTTTTTGGTACAAATTCCCCCTTTTTTTGCCCTTAAACCTCATTTTTATGGGAAAAAAAATCCCCATTTTTTTGGTACAAATTCCCCATTTTTATATAAGAAAAATTCCCAATTTTTGGGACAAATTCCCCAATTTTATATGAGAAAAATTCCCAATTTTTTAGCACAAATCCCTCATTTTAATAGGAAAAAAAATCCCAATTTTGTCACAAATTCCCCATTTTCTACCAAAAAAATCCCAGTTTTTGAGGTCAAATTCCACATTTTTTTTTTTCCCCATAAAATCCCTTTTTTGGGGAAAAAAATCCCAAATTTTTGGCACAAATCCCCCATTTTCATTGGAAAAAAAAAGTTGCATTTTTGGAAGAAATTCCCCATTTTTATGGGAAAAAAATCCTGATTTTTTTGGGACAAATTCCCCATTTTTATATGTAAAAATTCCCAATTTTTTGGAACCAATTCCCCATTTTTATGGGAAAAAAAATCCCAATTTTTTGGGACCAATTCCCCATTTTTATATGAAAAAAATCCTGATTTTTTGGCACAAATCCCCCATTTTTATATGAAAAAAATCCCAATTTTTTGGCCCAAATCCCCCATTTTTATGGGAAAAAAATCCCAATTTTTTGGCCCAAATCCCCCATTTTTATATGAAAAAAATCCCAATTTTTTGGCACAAATTCCCCATTTTTATGGGAAAAAAAATTGAATTTTTTGGCTCGAATTCCCCATTTTTATATGAAAAAAAATTGAATTTTTTGGGACAAATCCCCCATTTTTATGGGAAAAAAAATTCCAATTTTTTGGGACAAATCCCCCATTTTTATATGAAAAAAATCCCAATTTTTTGGGACAAATCCCCCATTTTTATGTGAGAAAAACTCTGATTTTTTGGGACAATTTCTCCAGTTTTATATGAAAAATCCTAATTTTTTTAGGACCAATTCCCCATTTTTATATGAAAAAAATCCCAATTTTTAGGCACAAACCCCCCATTTTTATACAAAAAAAATCCTGATTTTTTTGGATCAAATTCTCCATTTTTATACAAAAAAAATCCACATTTTTTGGGACACATTCCCCATTTTTATACGAAAAAAATCCCAATTTTTTGGCACAAATTCCCCATTTTTTTCCCTAAAAATCCCATTTTTATGGGAAAAAAAACCCCAATTTTTTAGGACCAATCCCCCATTTTTATGGGAAAAAAATCCTGATTTTTTGGCACAAATTCCCCATTTTTATGGGAAAAAAAATTGAATTTTTTGGGACACATTCCCCATTTTTATACGAAAAATATCCTGATTTTTTGGGACAAATTCCCCATTTTTATATGAAAAAAATCCACATTTTTTGGGACCAATTCCCCATTTTTATGGGAAAAAAACCCTGATTTTTTGGGACAATTTCTCCAGTTTTATATGAAAAATCCTAATTTTTTTAGGACCAATTCCCCATTTTTATATGAAAAAAATCCCAATTTTTAGGCACAAACCCCCCATTTTTATACAAAAAAAATCCTGATTTTTTTGGATCAAATTCTCCATTTTTATACAAAAAAAATCCACATTTTTTGGGACACATTCCCCATTTTTATACGAAAAAAATCCCAATTTTTTGGCAAAAAAACCCCAATTTTATAGGAAAAAGACCCCAATTTTTGGGAAAAAAACCCCCATTTTTATATGAAAAAA